GGTCGAGGTTGAGGGAGATAGGGGTGCCCTTGTAAGAACCCAGCTGGCCGTCGAAGACGTCAGAGAACTCTGAGAGGACAAGCCCCAGTAAAGCAGGCAGGGAGTTCTTTACAATAAGAATAGGCAAACGGCCGTGAAAATCCCCATAGTCAACCCGAATAGGGAAAGAACCCAGGGTGGGAATGAGAGTCCCCTGGTAGTCCCTAAGGGAGGTGTCCACAGGTTGCAGCTGGGCACAGGAGACGTGGGGACACAGGCGGGATATCAGGGAGCGGGAGGAGCCAGAGTCCACCTCCATTCGGCAAAGCTGACCTTCCAGCTGGAGTGAGGCAGAAACCTTCCAGGCTCCGGCGGACACCTGGCTGACCGTTTCACCGATGATCTCCGGCTGGTAGACGGTGTGACAATCTTCAGCCCACCTAGCAGGCCGCAGTGGTTGGCGGCGCGGCTGGGGTTGGGAAGCGGCAGGCTGTTGCAAGAAGGATGGTGCGGGCAGAGAGGCACGGCAGACCTGGGCAATGTGGCCCTTCTTATTGCAACGGCGACAGACTGTGCCCTTGAAGGGGCAAGCCGTGCAGGCATGGCGACCACCGCAACCCACACACCCGGTCGTGGCAGGGCCAGCTGGAGGAGGCGGTGGAGGGCGCCAAGGCTGTGCCCGGAGCTGGCCAACCACTTCAGAGCAGGGGTCTTCAGGTGGCACCAGTTCATCCACAAGGCAGGCTTGCGCGGAAGGCGGAGGGCACCCAGGCAGCGTAGGAGGTGGTGGCATGGAGAGCTGCAGGCGTTGCATATCGGCTGTGGACTGCTCAGAGAGCTTGGCTGCTCTGGCAGATTCCACGGCCTGCTGCATCGTGATGTTGGGGTGTCGCAGGAGGCAGCTCCTCAAGTTAATGTCCTTCAGCCCGCACACAAATTGCTCGACCAAATTTTCATCCAAATTCTGGAAGTCACACTGGGCCGCCGTTACGCGGAGCAACTCCAGAAATTGGCTGATGATTTCTGCCGGCTTCTGAACGCACCGGCGGAACGCGAAGCAGTGAGCGATGCGGGAAGGCGCTGGGGCGTAGTGGTTCTTCAGCCGGGACATTAGCGTGTCCCAGCTGAGCTGGTATACAGGCCGCGAGGCGGCTAAAGCCCCGGCGGACGCGAACATTGCGGCCCCGCAGCAACTCAAAAAGAAGCTGCATTTTTCCTCTTCCGGTTGGTTGTGGTTCTTAGATGCTATTAAATAGCATTTGAATCGCTCCATGAAACCTTCCCAGGTTTCACCAGTGGATCCGAAGGGCGCGAAGGGCGGCAAGGCAGATGCCATGTTCAGTTCAGTTCAGTTCAGATCGGTAGACTTGAGAGAGTGTAGTCGGGGAGCGTTGAGAAGAAAAAAATTCAGAGGTTCGTCGCACTGGCGGTCTGACGCGGCTTGAGCGGCTATGGCTGAATCTCTTCTCGCTCCGTCCTAGGCTCTGCTTCAGGAATCGCTGAATCCCATTCTCGTCACCAGTTTAAAGGATCGAGGCAGGAATGACGCGAGAGCCAGGACTTCAACCAAGGACAGATTTATTGAAGAAGCAGGAGCTGACAGCGATTCAAAAGTAACAATTCCGCGCCAAGGTATTTATACTAGCTTCGTTTAACAGGGGGAACCAATGGGAGGCCAGGTAGCGTCTAGCAACTGCTGACGCAGTACCCTGGCCAATCAGGTTGGCTCGGCTGGCTAGCAACAGCTATGCTGTGCCTCAGCCAATCAGGGCGCAGCCTAGACTGTTGCTGGCCTCCCGGTCGTAAGTGGAGGATTTTATGAATCCTCAACACCCATCTATCTGGAAGACATCAAATAAAGGAAGACAATGCAGAAGTGCTGTTCATTTTCCAGGGAAAGTAGGTGTTGTACGGCTGGATTTGTGGATTTGTGTGTGTGTGCATGCAAAACCATCCCCTCTGCTGCTGTTCTGCAGAGCCAGAAAGATTGGGGACTGCTGAGATAAGAAAATCAATGTACAACCTTTAGGCCATCGTAAAATTAATTTTAGTTATTACATCTCCCTTTAGATAATGATTTAAAAATGACAGTCTCACTAATCTTGGTTAGCATTTGCAAAGACATGAGAGTTTACACAGTTATATCAGTCTTCCCTTTCTCAACCTTTTCCTTTTGTGATCTTCAGAGGTTTGTTGGAAGAAAGCAAATTAGATCATTCCATATTTATACAGCATATACTTATTTGAAGATTATAGTCTGCAATGGATAAACTGTTTTTCTGAATTGCAGGCATTTCTTTGTTGTTCAAAAGAGATTTCTATTTCTTATAAGCAATTTGCTACTTACTCTTGATAGTGCTTGCCTTGTCAGGATCTCAAAAGCTTGCACCACATTAATATCATTTTTAGCACTAACTTCAAAATATGCTATATCCTTCTCCTTGCACCAGGACAAAGCCACCTCTTTGGACACCTAAAAAAAATGAGATTAGATGTTCTAAATATAATATTACATGGAAATTTGTTTCTTTCAAGAATGAATGAAATGAATGCAATGAAAATGTTATTTATATTTGTCATCACCAAATAATGGAATATTAATAATAAATAATATTAAATATATAATGTAACATCATGAATCCTGAACTGCACTTAGAAAATATGTACACTGACAAAATTTCCATCTGTCAATTGTAAAAGGCCATACTGCTTGGTCCTCGATTTACAACCTTGCATTTAGTGACTGAAGTTACAATGGCACTGAAAAAAGTGACATGTCTTTTTTTCACACTTAGGACCATTGCAGCATCCACATTATCACATGATCAAAATTCAGACACTTGTCAACCGGCTCGTATTTATGATGGTTGCAGTGTATTGGGACCACATGATCACCTTTAGCAATCTTCTGACAAGCAACGTCAATGGGGAAGCCAGATTTACTTAACAGCTGGATTACTAACTTAACAAATGCAATGATTCACTTAACAACTGTGGCAAGACAGTCTGTAAATTGGGGCAAAATTCACTTAACTGTCTTGTTTAGCAACAGAAATTTTGGGCTCAATTGTGATCATAAGTTGAGGACTACCTGCATTATGCCAATACATTACAATATACTAGGTTCTTTGAACTCGATGCTTATGAAGGCCAACACCAGCTAAACCAATGATCCCCAACCCCCAGTTCATGGACTGGCACTGGGCTGTATCATGCCAACAACCAGGCCACACAAACAAGCAAAAGCCCACCCGGGAGAATGGGGAATTCACGGAAAACCTCTCTCCACAGAACCAGTCCCTGATGCCCAAAAGGTTGGGGGCCACTCAGCTAAAGCAATAGTAAATGGCGGAAAAAAATGATATATTGTGGTATGCAATAAATTATAATATAATACATAAACAATAATAAAGTTATTTTGAGCTGCACTAGTTTTATATAATGGTTAAACAAATATATTCTTGAAGCCTCAGAGATCCTTGCTTTGCTTGGAGAAGACAAGCCCATGGACAAAGAATACATGGTACACAGATCTGTTTTAATGCAGGTCTCAATCTAGTAGAAAGGCATTTTTCATTTAAACATAAGGAACAATTTCTTAAAAACAGTTATACTTTAGTAAGTTCAGACTTATTCAGAAGACATTCTGCAAGATTTCTTGCATTATTCAGGGACCAGACTCTGATTCAACAAGATCCTATCCCTTTTGAGTAGATATCTAACAAAAGCACTGCACATAAATGCATGGCTTGTGCACAAACACAGTTTAGTTTCAATATTCAATAGCTGGAGATGGGAAAATCCTATAAAACAAAGCATGGTAAAGATGCAAAGAATTCTTTGAGTAACAAAAATGTTAGTTTTTATATTTATTATCTGAGAACAAATTCAAAATTTGTTCTCAGATCCTGATTGGAGAGCTCTATATTCAATTTCCACCCCTATTTCTACTTCCAGCTCTTACTTGTCGATCTTTCAGATCAATTTTGTTCCCCAGCACAACCATTGGGAAGCCTTGCTCTGTAGAGTTGACTTTCTGAAGAAAATCTTTCCTCCAAACATCCAAGGTCTCGAAAGAATCCATATCTGTGACATCAAAAGCCAGCATGCAACCATCCGAACCTTTGTAGAAAGTGGACACAATAGACCGGAATCGTTCCTGGCCTCCAGTGTCCCAAATCTAAAGGAGGAGGAACATATAAGCTTTAGCATTTGCAGTCTCCAAAACATTACTATTCTACAATTCAATCATATTTATATTTTACCCCTCCATCTACAATTGACAAGACGTCTTCCTGCATTAACATCAGTACAGTAAGTATTGCAGCAGAGATAGGAAACTTTTGGATGTCCGCATTTGGAAGTCTGAAGTATGTGATAAGCGCACTCACTACATGACTACCAGAATATATTTACCTGTTCCCAAAATGGATCTTATAGTGGGGAGTGATATTTTCAAAATCCCTACATATCAGAATGCAAACTAGCCCTTGGAATACCATTCTAGTAATGAGCCACGGTGGTGCAGTGGTTAGAGTGTAGTATTGCAGGCTACTTCTGGTGACTGCCAGCCTACTGCAATTTGGCAGTTCAAAACTCACCAGGCTCAAGGTTGATTCAACCTTCCATCCTTCCAAGGTGGGTGAAATGAGGACCCAAATTGTTGGGGGCAATATGCTGACTCTGTAAACCGCTTAGAGACGGCTGTAAAGCAGTGCAAAGTGCTGTAAAGTGATATATAAGTCTAAGTGTTATTGCTATTGCTAGTGGGGCTAATGTGGGTCTCAAAAGTATTTATATTAAGTCAAAGGGTACCGGAAGTGAATGCTTTGCTTTATAAAGTCTCCTTCCTAATATTAAGCAAAAAAGACAGTCAAACAAGGAGCTATCTGTGAGGCACACTACATAACACAAGCAAAGCCTCCCTTGTTTGTTATTGAAGGAAACCTCTGAACCATGTGGCCATGCCACATACTTCAAGGAAGGAAAACAGAGTGTGAATGAATGAGCAGGTGACAATAATTAAGGTTTAATTATTTATATGAAATATGAATATTGACTTTGATGTGGTGTTGTCAATTAAGAAATAGTAAGGAAATGGTGCCCGCTCAGATAGCAAAAGACAGTGCTATACTGTTGAACTCCTACCTCCTCTCCCAATAGGTCAATGACATATAGGAAAGTGATTCTCCTTCTCAAAGGAAAACCAAAATGCCATTGGAACATCCTATGCTTTAAAGGTGACTATGTGAAAACACAGTCATTAACAAAGTCAGCATTTTAGTCAGAGATGAATTACAAAGTGATATCCTTAAGCTCTGAAGGAGTCTGATAGTTTCTTTTCTAACAAATTTTATTAAAAAGCATGTAATTGTGAAAGTTACAGCTCACTTCATTAGATGTCAGCTACCAGACTCCTCCTGATTTTTTTTTGCCACCTTAGACTAACATGATTTTCTTCCTAAAATATCATAAACTCTGGTCTCTCTTGGAAATTTGCTGTCAACAGTAATATAAACATATGAAAATATTTCACAATATCTGTCCTTTCTTTGCAGTATATTTGACTGAGCTATAAATATTTGCTAACCATGGAATAAGAAATCTGAGACATTAAAACTTTTGTCACCTGCAATTTCAGTGGTGTGTGGTCTATTTCCATAACTTTGGACAAAACACTAGCTCCCAGGGTGCTGCGATAGTCTTCATAAAATCTCTTGTGAATATACTGATGGAGAAGAGAGGTTTTTCCTACACTTGAATGAAAAAAGAAACACATGCAAATTTCATTTCAGGAAGTTTGGATTCAAACTTTTTAAAGATTATCCATTAATGTTCTGTTTCACTTGAACTAATGAAATTAGAGTATCCTAATCGAAGATTAATTCTAATACTAATCAGTTATTGCCTATACTAGTGATGGCAAACCTTTTAAAGTGCTGAAAAGGTTGCGTGGAAATGTAACGCATGCACAGTCATCGGGACTGCACTCTGGAAAAGCCAAACTTCTGGGTCCCTACAATCAGCGGCTGGCACACATGCGCAGGCCGGTTTTCAGCACTGCCATGTACGTGAAGGGATCGTGCTCCAGAAAAGCCGAACAGATAGGAAAGGACAGATCCAGCTTCTGGCACACATGCACACCCGACAATCAGCTGGCCAGCACGCATGTACACACTGGTTTTCGGCACTGCCACATGTACGAAGGACAGCTGATCGTCTCAAGCTCATGCACGCCAGAAACTCTAAAGACAAATAAGGCAAGGCTGTACGTGCTGGCCGACATGGCATGCAAGCCATAGGTTTGCTATCATGGGCCTATACTAAAGTAAGCCCATAGAAATGTTAGAACTATTTAGTTATAGTCTTTATATAATTTAGTTGACCAGTATAGCTTCGTCTCAGACCCTGTGTCCATTGCTTTTATATCTGTTCTGGAAGCAACAAACATAAGATCATCTCCTAACTAGGTTTTTATATAATTTATAGAAGATATGTATTTTTTTGTGTTTAAAATAGAACGATCTGGACATTTCACGCTATGTACTATAATGGTGCTATAATTCAGATTTGTTTGTTTGATGATCCAGGATCTGAATAGCAAGTATTATTATCCAAGTAGTTTCCTGCCTAGGCAGGGGTTGGACTAGAAGACCTCCAAGGTCCCTTCCAACTCTGCTATTGTATTGTATTGTATTGTATTGTATTAGATTCTTCACCTGCTGTGGTTAAGTTAAGGTGTTCAGTATAACCTATCTGACTGGTGCTGTTGCAACTAGTTGCCATTTTAATTATATATTTGGACTGCAATCTGTTCTTAAACTTTATTGTAATTTTTGTAAGTAGGCATTTTCTTATTTTTTCCAGAACACCATTTATATTCTTTGCTTTGTCCCCTGATTTCTGCTTATTGTGCTGTATTAATTTTTTATACAACATCCGTTTAATATATTTACTCTGACATATTCTAATTGCTTCATCTGGAAGCCAATGAGTAGACAATGGAACATCTCTAATCAATATGCAAACAGTTTAAAAGAAATGTAAACTCAATTGAACACAATAATTCTCACTAGATCAGGGACAGCAAATTTTCTTCCCTTGCAACTCCCAGCTTCAGAAAAAAAATATGGATGCTCAAAATATTATATGACAAATGGTACAATGAGAACTGGTGTGGCATAATGGTGAAAGTGCTGGACTACAAATGGGGACAGCTTTGTTCTAGCCCATCTCAGTCAGAGGTTTGTTGGGTGACTCTAGGCCAATCACGCTTTCAGCCCTCTCTCACAACAAGGTTATTGTTGGGGGGTGGGGGGAATAAGAAGAAAAGCTACGTACTAAGACTATAATGTAATGATTATCTGTCAGCAAGTCTATGTGGACTTTTAGTGATCATTTCTTCAGAAAAAAATAGTATACAGTACTTACTAATAAATGTTTTTAATTTTTGGCTACATATATATCACTAAATCAATGCACACTCACAGCAGTTTAGAAAACATAAAAAAACCCAGCCATAACAGTTTGTTGGGGTGGTGGTTGTGGGAATAACTCAAAACCCATTTAAAATTGTAGCAATCCAGTTTCAACAATGAACTTGGAGATTCAAATATTTATTTCAAAGACATGATTCCATCAAATTAGTTTCTGATAATCACTTATAAGTGAATCTTGTATAGCATATATTTGCAAGTATTGATATAAAATGTAATTCACAAAATAATCCTATGGATTGTTTATTTGGAAGAAAATAGCAATTACTGTACAGTAGTAACTACAACTTTAAAAAAAACCCAAATTTTCGGTTTGCCTGCTTTGTTATTTATCTGATCTCTAGCGTATCACTAACAAATTACTAACTCGATCTGGTCATACTAGTAGCTCAAAGTGGATAGTTGTAGTGTAATATTTCTTTTAACGTCAGCAAGTAGAAATTCCATTTTCTTTTGGAGTAACTGATAATAAATCCATCGAACATTCATCTTTGTACTTTAATCTTTTTAAAAATAGGTTAACTACAATGGTTATATGTCAAAGGACCTTTTTCTAAACTGATATATCCGGATAGTGACGGTTTCTTAAAGAGCACCTTTATTGAATCACAAAAGTCATTTGTCACATCCATAATTTTCCTTGACTTTATTTATGGTGGTTTAAAAAAAATTAGGGTCTTTTGTAAAAAAGAAATTGAACATTTTATGATGTACTGTCAGTTATGTTTCACATATCTATCATCAATCCTTAAAAAAAAATATCGCACAGTTTTTATACATTATCTTTGAAAGAGGGAATTCCAAGAACTGAAGTAGTATTTTAAATATTCATGGACATGAAATTCCATTTCTAAGAGTATATGCACTATTTAATTAAAAATTAATTGTATTTTAACATTTCATTGTACACCACCCAGTCTCTCTCTGAGGAAGAGGGACAGTTCAGAAATGTGAAAAATATATTTTTTAAAGTACACATTTCCCCCAAATGTATGTTTATGGTTCATCAATAACAAGGAACAGAGAACTTACAAATAAGGCTTATCCACTAATAAGTGTATGGAATTAAACAGGTAGTCCACTAATAGGCAGTCCACTAAACAGGCAGTCCACTAATAAGTATATGGAATTAAATAGGCAGGTTTAATTAAATTAAACCTGCCTATTCTTTAAAATTTACCCCTTCTGCTTTCTTCAGAGAAAAAAATTCCCTCTAGGTGGAAAAAAAAATAGCCAGGACAGAAGTAATGAATAAAGATTTGCTAGTGAACATTATGTAGCATATTCAAGCTGGAATTCCATGTTTTTTTTCCATTCTGATCACAAATGCCTGAAATTTAAAACCCCAAAAGTTCCTCTTCTCCCACTCTAACTTTACACAATTCAGTATGTGAATCTGCTTTCATTTCTAATGGAAATATTTCTTTCCTCTTTCCAATGTCAGAAAAAATTACACCATTATCTCAACTTGTTCTAAACTTGCAAGATTCTATTACAACCAGTAAAAATAGTTTTAACCTTCCTGTGGATTTGATTACTTGTCCTGGTCTACCTAGTGGATAGATACACTCTGATTATGTAGTACCTCCTTCTCCTATTTGCAGTAGGAATAAGGCAGTATCTGAGCTGCAGAAGCATATTATCATAAAAGAATACTATCTGCCTGCTGTGGACTTAAAATATATTTAATCCTTTGTTGCCTTAGCAATGGATTTTGCATATCTCTGTCCAAGTCATCTTCCTTACTCTTTACATTGCTCCACTAAGTACTCTCAGAGAGGACATGCTCCAGGTCCTCTCTATTCAACAATGTCATCTTATTGGAGTCATTCTTTTTGTGTGGAACAACATCCCTCTGGAGATCCAGACTCTGTTATCTCTCGTGAGGCTCTGAAGACTGATACTTGGGCCAGGAGGTTCGGTGAGTTATGCTGTTGGCATGGTTTGATGACTGGGGTGTATTATTCCAGTTGAGTATCATGGATTATTGTTTGTCACTGCTAGTTAGAAATCACTGCTGTGAGATGAGAAGCCATCAAAATTACATAAACAAAAAAACACTTCAGGGAGAGTCACTAGAAACCCAAAGTCAGAAGGGACAGGTAAGCTCTGTGACTTTCAGCCAGTCTCCATTTTCTCATTTTCTGTCTCCTTAATCTATTTCACAAACTTATTGTGAGAATAAAATGAAGGTTCGGGATAAGAGAGAGAAATGTTAAAGATTTTAAAAATATGCTTACCCCAAAGCTCCAATGATTACGATTTTCAAATCCACTCTTTTACTTGGACCCATGAATGGGACCTACAATGCAAAAAGGAGGAGAGAAACTATTATTTTGTATCTCAAATCATCAAAATGACAGAAATCCATCCAGAAACACATATAGTATAGCAGCGGTAAGCATTAAATCCCAGGTATCTTACTGTTTTACTTACTTACTTTGTTTTACATCAGAAAAAGAATGTTTGGTTTTGGATAAGACCACTCCTCCCTCTAAGCTGCGCGGCCGCGCACGTGGCAACAAAACACCGCGCAGCAGTT